TCTCTCTCTCTCTCTCTCTCTCTCTCTCTCTCTCTCTCTCTCTCTCTTTCTCTTGCTTTTTTTCATTTTCTATATTTTTGACTTTGAAGTTTGTACTTTTCTAAGCAAATTAAATGTTTGTGTATTTTTTTTTTCGGGGAGAAGCTGTCTCCCTCTAGGACACAAATTACTGCCCATTCCTGATGATTAATTTACTTAAATAGGTTGTGCAGCTCAGAAGCACTGAAATTGTATCAAGAAAACAAAAGTGTTCAAATTCTACACCTACCAAATTTTGATTCCAACTTTCAGAGTATCTTCTTTTATTTTTAGATGAATCTACGTTCTGTATTTACTGTAGAACAACAAAGGATTTTACAGCGTTATTATGAAAATGGAATGACAAATCAAAGTAAAAATTGCTTTCAGCTCATATTACAGTGTGCACAGGAGACTAAGCTGGACTTCAGTGTAGTCAGGGTAAGTATTGAGGTCTTACACTTGAATTTATAGCTTTTATTACAAATGATATCTGCTTAATATAAGAAAAGGTATTCAGGGTATGAAGTCCTAACTTTATACACAGTTCCATTTCCCTGGTGTAAGAATACTATTTTGATAAATAGAGATACCACACAGTCTTACTTGTTTTCGTAAATACTTTGAGAACACTAAAAACCCTTGCAGTGTGGACATACCCCTTAAATAATCTTCAAGCCAATAAATACTGGTAGCATTAATTTTGGGTTGTTGGTTTTATGCCCTTTTGAAGTGCTCATTTAATCCACATAGAGCCTCCATACTGATGGTGAAGCTGATTTTTTGAGGCAATTCCATGTACCTCACTTTGTTGTTGTATTTAGAATTTTTCCTTAGACATTTAGGATTTGAGCATTTTTTCTCTTTTCTGGCAAGTACAGTAGTTTTTACAGATGCTTATTTCTTTCTAAGTAAAATGTAAATATTTAATGGTTAGTGAGTGAGAGACAGGGAATCCCAAGGGGAAAAAACACTGTTATTCCGTTGTTAAAAAAAATCAGAGCTGCTACACGCTACTGAACAGCAATGAGGTGATAGGCAAGTGATAAATCTAACAGAACTAAGGACCGATTTTATTGAATGCATTGGTCCTTTCATGTTTATCTAAACATTCTACAAATCCTTTTGGTGTGGATCCTTTAGTGATTCAAAGTTTCACAACTTTCCCATCCATGGCGGTCACTCGGCTAATTTGGGGTGGGGGAGGAATGATATATCTTTTTCCAGTTTATTTTGCTGTACCTTCAAAGATCCCAGAGAAAAGATCTGTAGATGGAACTGTTTCAAAAGTTCTTCTTAAGAACTAATATATATATTCACATTCAAATAAGAAGTTTGCCATTTATTATAAGGAGAAGCATTCTTATTGTTTGAGATCAGCTATAATATTCCCATTTCTCTAAAAACCAGAAACATCTTTTATTAATAGCTCTAAATGCACCTTTAAATTAACCACTGAATCTCAAAGAAAAATATTTAGTAGCTTTATTAAAAATAATAAGATATTTAAAGTTGTTGAAATTGCACTTTATACAATCACTTTTTTCCAACTGTAAGTTCCTTGAACTTTTCTTCCCTTTTGTCTTAGCATTACTTTAAACTAAATTGTCTTCCCAGGCAGCAGCGATGTGGCTTGTCCCTCAGAGTTCATATTTGTCATTACACTTTTTGCTTATAACTAACTTTATTACTTTTTAATATAGAGATTGTAGAACTATAGATATTTATATTTATACTGAGTATGGAGTGAAAACGTAAAACAGTGAGAGGAGTAGATTTCAATTTTTAGAATGTAGGGTTGTGGGTCTAGCACTGTGTAAGATAAAAGGAATTGTGTAAAGCAGTTAGTTCTCTTCATTCCAGGAAAGCATCAGTGGTACAAAAATGCATTGTTTTGAAACTAAATCCCAATATAATTTTCATTATTTTTCCATTCAAACAAAAGCTCAGCAGGGTAGTTTGTAGATTTGTAAATCTATGATCTCCCTCATCTTTTACTGTTATATGTCCAACTTGAAAGAGATCTTCATCATTTTTAATATAAAATTATTGTGTTTTTCCTCAGAAGAACTTAAGTCCATTATATTAAATATTTACTCTGAATGTAAAGTGAATTTAAAACATTGAATAAAACATCCAAACAAAAATAATCGAAATGAAGCAAACAGACAAGAAACCAAACAGTTAGATATAGAAAAAGGTAAAGAAATGTAAAACATGGAGATATGAAAACACTATAAGTTCTATAAGAAACCCATTCTTTTGCATGCTAATCTCCCCCACAAAAAAGAATAAAAATATTCTGACATTAAATAGTGATAATGATTATAGACTGCTGATGGTATTTAAAAAGACACTGTATGAAAGAATTTAGAGATAGTTAATTTTTAAGATAGAGCTGAAAGAGAATTTTATGACCTCCAAATATTGGCAACTCAAGTCCATTTCATTTTTCTCCATATATAGTCTCTTTGCTAGATCATCACCTTAAATTTTCATCATATCGATTTTGTATGGCATTCTTTTTCATGAATTAGGCATTTGCAAGAAGTGGGCGCTTATATCTGATAGGCATAAATTTTAGATCCTACACCTGAGCTGTTTAGGGTGACGTTTAATTATTGTAATCCATGAACAATGAGTTTTATTTTCAGCATTTTAAGTACAAGTATTTCTTAAGTATATAATTTTTACTTTTTTAAATAGAGAACTTGGAAAACAATTGAACTCTTAGTGTTTGATTGGTGTTTCATGACACCAATAATAATAATTATTATTATTATTTTGTTTTTTAGAGACAAGGCTTCTCTGTAGCTTTGGAGGCTGTCCTGGAACTAGCTCTTGTAGACCAGACTGGCCTCGAACTCACAGAGATCTGCCTGCCTCTGCCTCCAGAGTGTTGGTATTAAAGGTGTGCGCCATAGGATATGTCAATTATGCTTAATGAATTTCATTACATTGTTTTGGGGATCTCTCTCTCTCTTCTGGATCAGGAGTGTTGTAATATTTGAAAATATTATGTGGCTTTTTCAATGGGCTGTTGAGCTAGGGGAGCATAATTACAGCATGGAGGAGGCAGAGGCTGCAGGGTCCTTATAAATTCATGGCCAGCCTGTCTACATAGCCAAACCCTGTCTCAAAAAAAAAAAGGTTGCACGAAAGTGTTAACTTCAAAGATTTAAGAAAACAGATATTGCTATACAAAAGCATTAAAACAAACTACAAAAACAAACCACAAAGTTCTACATAATATAAAATCCACTTTTGCAGGAAAATACCATCCACAAAAATGAACAAGTCTTTAAGGTTGTGTGGATAATTTAAGTGTTTATAAGCCAAAGAACAATAATTTGATTATATCAGTAAAATGATTGATAAAAAGGTTGAGATAGAGATTTTTTATTGAAGTTATAATGTATTCACATTTCTTCCTTCTTTTTACTCCCTCTAAGCCTTCTCATACATCACTTCCCATTATCCCTCAAACTCACGGCCTCTTTTTTCACTAATACTTACTGCACATATATGTGCATATGTATAGACATATATTCCTGAGAAATAACCTGTTCAATCTATATTTACTTGTATGTATGTTTTCAGAGATGACCCTTTGGCACTGGACCACCAGTTGGTGTGTTCTTCCCTGGGGAAGACTATTTCTCCCACTCTCAGATTTCCTCAGCTGCCTATAATTCTTTGTATGGAGTTGAGGCCTCATGTTTTAAAATAAGCACTCTAAAATCAGGTGTCCTGGGGGCACACTTGTAGTTGGAGCACTGGTGAGAAAAAGGCAGTGGAGAATCAGGAGTCCAAGTTCATGTTTGGGCTCATAGCATGCTGATGCCATCCTGACCTTCATGAGCCCCTGTCAGAGAAACACAAGCATTAAGTGTGCAATGAGAATTCTTCAGGACTTAAAGAGGAACTTTATTACTAATATTAGGTACAAAAATTTCTTTTGAGTTTATAATCCTCCCACAAAATGTATCCCAAGTATTTTATTTCAGTCAATTGTGAAACAGTTTTGCTGTCTCTACTATACGGGTTTTATTTTAAAACACCCATTCAAGCAGCAAAGCATGATTAGGCACACCTGTGATAATAACGCTAGGGAAAGTGGGAACAGGGTGTTTAGAAATTTGTGCTCATCCTTTAGTACATAGTATGCAGTGGAATATAGTTTAAGATGTGTTCCTTTCATTTATTCTGTGGAAGATTTGTTTAATGATACAAAGATGTGTTGCATTCTTTTATGTTGCATTTGTTTAACTCTATAAAGCTGTGGTACTTTGCCTGTCAAAACATCTGATTGGTCTAATAAAGAGCTGAATGACCAATATCTAGGCAGAAGAGAGGCTAGGCGGGGCTGGGAAGCAGAGAGAATAAATAGGAGGAGAAAGAAGGATGAGAGAGAAACAAGAAAAGTAGAAGGAGAGGAGGACGCCAAGGACCAGCCACCCAGCTGCACAGTCAGCTACTGAATAAGAAGGGAAGACAGACATATAGAAGAGAGAAAGATAAAAGCCCGGAGGCAACAGGTAGATGGATAATTTAAGAAAAGCTGGCTAGAAGCAAGCCATGCTATGGCTGGGTATTCATAAGGAAGAAAAAGTCTCCATGTGTATTTATTTGGGAGCTGGTTGGTGGACACCCACAGAGTAAAAAAAAAATAGAGAAAAACTATATTAGTAAGTTCAAGGATAGTCTGACTATATGATACCCTGTCTCAAAAGAAAAAGAAATCATACATCTAAACTAAAAACAAACTAATAAAAATTAGTAGTTCTATATGTAATTTAAATGATCTTGGATGCATAAGTACAATTAATTTACTGGTACTTTTAAAAATTGGGCTGGAGATATAGTTCAGTTGAAAGACTACTTGCTTGACATGTATAAAACCCTGGGTTCTATTCTCAGCACTGCATATATTTTGTTGGGTGGTACACACCTGTAAGGAAGTAAGGGCAGCTGGGGATTTGTAGCAAATCCATACAACTTTAATATTATCCTTTGCTACATAGTCTAGCTTGGGCTAGAGGCTCTGTGTAAAGGAAATTTACAACTATGTAAGCTAACAGAGAAAAACCGTATGTCCAAGATTAACAAAGCAATTGCCTTGTACACGGAGTCAGCATGACAAATAAGATGTTTGTATTTTATTTAGGAGCCATCTAAGCAAGCACATATACATACCCCAGATGGTTTTCTATTTTAATAGTGATCTATTGAAATTAAATCTAATCTTCAATACTGGTTTGCTTTTAACTATTCTTCTAACTGCCTACTACATGCCACTTAAATCTTTTATTTATTAATGCTCTAAAGCATTAACATTAACTATAAGAAGGATAATTAAAGGTTCTACTCAGAAATATAACACTCCAAGGGAATGGTATACAAATAAATCATTTGGGAAACCAGCTGAAAACTTTGAGTTGAACATCATATTAATTAATATTGGTCAATGATTTGGCCTCTGAAACAGACTAATGATGCTGCTTTCTTTATCCTACTAATATGGCATCACATATTATTAGCCAACAAAACAATTAGTAAACAGAGCTTCTTTAAAATAGCATGAATGAGAAAATTTAAATTCTTAAAGCAGTGTGAGAATTTCACAATGGGAGCTAATGAACAGCTAGCTATATAGTGTCATTCCTAAGGATACATGAAGTCATACATAAAGAAACAAGATGTGATCACTGTTTTACACATGTAAAAATACTAGCAAATCCATCTAAATGTATGGTTTGTTGTAACAGTTTAAAAATTCTTTATAATCTCTCCGTTCTACAAGTCAAGGCAGAGCTACTATACTGTGGTCTTGAATTCTGTTACTACTCAAACTGAGATTAGATTAACATTAGATGTGGACGTTTCTCTGTCAGGACTTCCAAACCTCCAGAAATTTTGCTGACGCTAAATTCTTATTTTCCAGATGTAATTGGGGAATCTGGACCACTAATTCTATGTTAACCATACTCAGAACTACAGTTATTTAAAGGTATCATCCACGCTTTCAGTCTTCCCATTGACACAAAAGCAATTATCAAGACTAACTGCCATACCTCCCCTGGACTCTGTTCCTTAACTCAAGATATTCTTCAGCTTCATGTCCTCCTCCTAGCAGTCTACTAGTATTCTTTTCTTTTCTACTTAGTTTTCTGTATTTCACACTACCCTGAACCATAAATTATTTTAATGATTTGGAAATGAATAAAAAGAACTGTAAATATAAACTCCCCCTGCCACTAAATGGGTTTTGAGGACCAAAAATATAAAATGGAATCCAAGGTGTGGGAAATCTTAACTTGGATACCTCCCTTTCCTTGTCCATGCACATATACACAATGTTAGTAGTTGCTCAGAGACGGAGCCTGCATCCTTTCTCCCTCCTTTTTAATAAGCAATGTTTAGTGAATAATTTTAAGTATTATCAGGGAGCCCTATAAGAGCTTCTGTTACTCACAATTCCATTTCTATGTTTTTGTTTTTTATTTGTAGGAAAGTATGATACTGTATTTGTTCAAAGTATGTGTAAAATCAGAGAAAGTAGGCTACAAGTTTAGTAGTCACTATATTAATGGGCTAAATTAATCTGTGTTGACTGTGTTTCAGACAAATGAGGCTTCTGGGTAGCTAGAGAGCTGAATTTCATATGTACATGATATTTTACTGCATTTTAGTTTTGATGTGTACATAATATATCAAACTATATATGCTATTATGTATAATTTGCAGTTATATATGTAAACAATAAAATTATATAAGTATGACATATTATGAAAGATGTCTCTAGATATACTAGTTCCTAGAATCAAGTTTAACAGTTCATCATGCTTTTCCTCAATATTTTGTAAGCTTAGTTTTATATATATTTTATAATATAAGTATACATAATTCTTCTTAATGCATTTTTAAATTGAAAAGCTGGAAACATTTTAAATGTTTATGAAATTCACCTTTTGGGAAATGGTATTTATCCAAAGAGTTTTTCCTCTGTTTTCTTCCTTTGTGATATTTGTACTTACACATATTTCAGATCTTGTTTGTAGATCCTGATCCTCCTGTTCTAGGAAGTCAGAATGAGTTTCAAATTCCCACTATCTCATGTGAAGCAAAGAGGAACATCACAGTTTCTGGAATACTTTCTTTATTAAAAATATAATCATAAAAGTAAGATAGTCGATGGATAACTGGTTCAGGAGGTTCTAGTCACTTCATATGAGGTAATGAAAGAAGAATCTATCTGAGAGCAAGCAGATTTTTGCCACTTGCTGACAAAGTATCTTTCCCAAAGTTATTATTTTGGACTTCAGTTTTTTCATCTATATAGTTTAAAATGTAGCACCTATTAAAATAGCTAAAATACATAAACAATAATCATTTTAGAATCTAGTACATACAATATTATAGAAAACTTAATGTTGTCTATACATTGTGTAAACACTGCAAATTGGATAATTTATGAGGTTTTTAGATGCACATCATTAAAAATTTGCAGAAAACAAATGTTACATCATTTATGTGTGAGACTAGTTTATTTAATATTTTCATTTATCCATTTATTTTGTTTAATCCCTAAAATATTATCATGTTTTAGTAGTTTATCATATGACATGAATTTTTTAATATAAAGTTGCATAATCACATTATGGAATGCAATATATTTATTGCATATTTTAAGAAGAACTATGATTCAGGGAAATTATACTAAGGTAATTATAATAAATTACTTATATAGAAGAATGTATTTTATAATTAAATCCTAAATGCCAACCTTTTGTATTACCTTTATGTATTACTTTTTTCTGTTTTTAAAAGTAATGTATTTATTGTATAAAACTTTTTAAGTAAGTGCAAAAAAGTAAATGACTACTATAAATTAAGGATAAACCAAAGAATGGTATTATATAACCAAGTTACTACCTTTATAGAAAACTTCTCTTACAAATCAGTTAAAAGGGCAAATATCCCAATATGAAAATACCTATATGTGGGGCTGGTGAGATGGCTCAGTGGTTAAGAGCACTGACTGCTCCTCCAGAGGACCTGGGTTCAATTCCCAGCACCCACATGGCAGCTCACAGCTGTCTGTAAATCCAGTTCAAGAGAATCTGACATCATTATACCAATGTGCATGAAATAAAGTTAAATAAAGTTTAAAAAAAAGAAAATACCTATATGTAGTACATGATCAGATCTATCAAAATAATATAGTAACCATTGAAATCCAATCAAAGCAACAATCATGTACCTTTTATCAGATTAGCAAAAACTGCAGAAGATTTAAACTGGAGGTTTGAGGTAAAAAAAATTTCATATGTTGGAGGGCACTTAGAAAATGATAGATTTTTGCTATTTCTTTTCTAGAATTGCGTGACAAGGAACCACAAACACAAAGATGCATGTAAAATGAAGCATATAATAATGAATATTTCTGAAAATAATATAAATAGCAGTATGAAATTAACCATGTTATATATATTTACCCAATAGAAGTCATTAAGTCTGAAGATTATGAATTCACATTTGATTAATAATGCAATGAGTACTTTCTAATGAGCTGAAGAGCTGACTTTAGTGTTCTTTCATGTTTTTTGATATTATAAATATATAATAAATGTGATTAACTATAAGCTTTGTCTATACCTGTGCCTACATTTTAATAGTTATTAGCATATATGAATTGTGTATAATAATGAATTGCATCGTGACATTTTCATGCATGTATATACTGTATTTTGGTCATCTTCGCCTTCATTTCTCTACTCTTCACCTCCCACTCCTGATGATCCCCTTCCTCTTCCCAACCTAGTCACATTTCTTCTTCCAGTGTGTCTTTCTCTTTCTGTCTTTGTATCAGTTTGTGATGACTTTGAGTTTCATCAGGGCTGTTTACTAGAGGGGGAATTATTTGCAGGAGCATGGGATCATTACTGGATGCTATGGCACTGAAGAAAAAAATGTGTTTCCTTTACCCCAGAAATTATTAATTTCCTATAGAGTCACAGGGATTGTTAGGGCATGGTGAGTCTTCCCCATGGCTATTATTATATCAACTATCAGTTATCTGATGATAGATTGGGGAGTAAGGGGTATGCTCAAGTAGGTAAAAAAGGGTAATCAACTACTCTCATCTCAGATATGAGTCCTGATCTACGGAAGGAATCCACTACTGGTACTATAAAACTTGTCAAAATCACACGGCTGGGGAGGTCATCAGGCCTAGTGGGGAAACGAATGCTACTGTTTTGCAAAACAGACACTATGTACACATCAAATTGCCATCTAAATAACTATGTTTACACTCAAATTAGTGCTCCTATTGCTCCTATCATCTTTGGTTAGAGAAGTTCCTTCTTGCTGTGGGAAGTGCTAAGTGCAGAGACTTATAACTGGTCAAACTATAATTACATTTTAAGATATATTTCTGGCAATGTATTTAATAGGCCATAGGATATAAACAGTTTTAGAATTCTTAAATATTTTGCAATTCTTGGTACATATTAATTTTGTGGATCATATGGCAGAGAGAAATATGTTCTTACTGATGTTCTCATGTATTTATTGAATAAGTACTTAATCACGTTTGCTCTTAGACTTTTGTTCCGTTGTCTTTTATTGGATCTTTTCCTTTTGCCCATGTCTAAGCCCTGTTTCTATGTCAAGAATATAATTTATTACATGGAAATGGACTTTTCTAAGTTCATTGTTACCTTTTATCATATTGCCATTTTTTTTTCTTTTATACTTTCAGACGTGGGTTGGCAATAAGCGAAGAAAAATGAGTAGTAAAAACTCTGAATCAGGAACAGCAGGAACTGTTTCTGGTACCCCATTGGCAGCTCCAGACATTACAGTCAGAAATGTGGTTAATATTGCCCGGCCTTCAAGCCAGCAATCTTCTTGGACTTCTACCAATAATGATGTCATTTTAACTGGTATATACAGTCCAGCAAGCTCATCGAGTAAGCAAGGGACAACAAAGAATACAAATACACAAATTACAGAAGCACATAAAACTCCTCTTCAGAAACCAGCCAGTAAAAATGACACTGAATTTCAATTGCACATTCCTGTTCAAAGACAAGTAGCACACTGCAAAAATGCTTCTGTGCTCCTAGGGGAAAAGACAATTATTTTGTCAAGACAGACAAGCGTACTAAATGCTGGAAACTCAGTGTACAACCACACAAAGAAAAACTATGGAAGCTCTGCGGTGCAAGCTTCTGAAATGACAGTACCTCAAAAGCCATCTGTGTGCCACCGACCTTGCAAAATTGAACCAGTTGGCATTCAAAGGTCATATAAACCTGAACATGCAGGTCTGGCATCACATAACTTATGTGGGCAAAAGCCAACTGTTAGAGACCCTTATTGTAGAACACAAAACTTGGAAATTCGTGAAGTGTTTTCATTGGCAGTCAGTGATTACCCTCAGAGAATTCTGGGAGGAAATACAACACAGAAGCCTGGTTCGGCAGAAGGAACTTGTTTGTCCATTGCGATGGAGACTGGCGATGCAGAGGATGAGTATGCTAGAGAAGAAGAGTTGGCATCAATGGGAGCACAGATAACAAGCTACTCAAGATTTTATGAAAGTGGCAATTCTCTTCGAGCTGAGAACCAAAGTACAAGTTTGCCTGGACCAGGAAGAAACCTGCCAAATTCACAAATAGTGAATATTAGAGATTTGTCAGACAATGTACTATATCAAAATAGAGACTACCATTTGACACCACGGACCTCATTGCATACAGCACCTAGTACTATGTACAGTAATACTAATCCATCCCGGAGTAATTTTTCTCCACATTTTGTATCATCAAACCAATTGAGGTTATCACAAAACCAAAATAACTACCAGGTAAGGTATTAACTTGATTTATGAAAAATTTTAAAGGCATGCTTGATTGTAAAACAATGTTTGTGTATGGTTAGATCATAGCCTAGGTCACAATGCATATTTTTAAGCAATTTGAGATTTTTATATGAAAATGGTGGATTGTTGTCAATACCTTGAAGAATACTGTGCATATCAAGTTTTAAAATGGTGAAGTCTTTAAAAAATATATAAGAAATATAGTCATTTCATAGCATCTTACTGCTGGCATCAAAAAAATTTTTTTTTGTTCAAGAAATGGTACCTTTCTATGAAGTATAGCATTTCACACATCTAAAATAAAATTAAATTGGTTATGTACCCAATTGCCTTCCTTGAATACATAGGCAAGCGAGTCAATCAGCCCTTTATATGTCAATGGCTAAGAACTTAAGAGTTTGTGGCGGTTTAGCCAACTGATTTGTCTAAAAGTAGGTGCCTGATTCAGTTGCTAAGTTGACCATTAATCAAATAATCTTCTTGTATGACACTTATTTGGAAAGCTATATCCAGAGTAAGTCTTTAGTAAGCTTTTGACCTGGAAACAAAACAGTGTTATTTCTTTACTGTTTTGCATATATTCGATTGTTTAGGTATGTTTCAGATAATCTCTTTAAGTGTGAAGTATAAGTCTATCTCAGAAGCTTTCTAAAGATCTTCTGCCTTAAAAAATATGATTTTGAGAATTTAAACAAGAAGGTGTTGATGCTTGCTACTTTTCCTTGCTACTGGTCATACATCCTTAGCTCTTCAACCACAATATTTAAGGAAAGATGTTCCCAGGATGTTCCAAATTTAAGACACCATTTTTTCCTAAGCCTCTCTACTTTATGGTTTTATAATTCAAAATGGAAAGCAATAGCTGACTTGTAGTGGTATAAGTCCCTAAGCACCACAAGCTCCTGGTCATTCTAATTTACACACAAGTTCCAACCCAGCCAGGGCTACTTAGTAAAGCCCATCTCAAAGTAAAAACAATAGAGACAGTGAGAGTGGGGGAAGGAAAATAAAAAACAATGACATAGCCCTGAAAGCACCTTTCCGAGCATATGCCCCTTATAAAGAAGTTGGTGATTAGAGTTACTTCATTTATTTGTTCTTTACCAAAATGCATATTTAATATAACGTTGAATTATATCGTTAATATCCTCGTCACCTTATGCATCTTTATTTTTTTTTTACTCTTTTCGTGTTTTATTTAATTGTTTATTGAATGATTGATTCATCATAAGGACTTGATACACAGCTGTGCTTGGTCTGATCTGACTAAAACTTGTTATCCTCTTACTTCTGCCTTCTGAGTGTTGTAATTATAGGCATATGTCACCATTTCCTGACAGTGTTATTAATTCTAATAATAATAATGTTTATCATTTGCTGAAGGACTTTCAAATGTCTCAGGCTAATCTGGGCTACATAATTAGGTCCTATCTTAAATGTAAACTAACGTATATTAAATGTAAATACCCTGGTTCTCTTTTGCTTATTGTATAGAGTGTATTTTTTATGACTTTAATTGCAGAATATGAGTGTTCTTGAATCTAAAATGAGTATTTTGTAGGCAAAGGATTATTGAATCTTGTTTTAGTTTTCTCTATTTGGCCATTCTATATTTGACTAGAGAATAAAATCCATTTACATTTAAAGTAATTATTGACAGGTAAGGACTTACTATTCTTATTTGTTAGTTTGCAGTTCTTTTTTTCGTTTCTTCCTGTTTGGATGTCTTAATTCGTAATTTTAAATTGTTTTGTTAATAATATGTTTTTATTCCATTTTTGTCTTCTGTATAACTACCAAAAGTTTTTTTTGCTTAATGATTATCATTAAGTTTGAATAAAATGTGAAAAATATTTCTTAAAGTTTAGGTTTTTTTCTAATAGGCCCATTACTTAGAGATTCTCTTGGAATATTTTGTTAGTTTATTTTCTTTCTCAAATGGACACTAGTGTCCTATTTCTTTTCATACACTACTTTTTATATTGATAATTTGGAGAGAAACAAATTTTTTCTAGTTTTAGCATCCTGGTTTTATGGAGACATTCACTGGTCAGTATAGCATAGTGTTTTCAGGTCTTTAATTCTTTCATAGGTTTCCACTGAGTCCTTATGCATATTTAACAATTCCTCGGTTTTAGTAGCTATGTTAAAATATTTTAATTTGTTTGAGTCTCACTCTAGCTTCTTGAGGAACTATTGTTATTCTATTCTATTTCACAATTACTATTATCTTTCTCCACATTTCTGTGGATCATCATTCTCCATAAGATTTTCACAACCATTGTCCACTGTTTCCCACCATTTCCTCTAGCCTGTGAGCTTACCTTCACCACATTTGTCTCTCTGAACTTCCAATTCATAGATAAAGAGACCGATCCCTCAGATGGCCTGAGACACATTACAGTAATGAAAAATACAATCAAATTAAGTCTGCTTCTTGTTCACAGAAGAAAACTATGTCTTGGGCCAAAACTGTCTTCAAGTCATGTCATGACACACTAAAAATAAAATTCGTCTAAACTGGCTTAATAAAAATGCCATAAATTTTATAAGCACATTGACCAGGGCAGTTTCTTAGTCATTTGCTTAGTTTCTGTGGGTTTTGACAGGTTTTCAGAACTGCCATAGTGCTGTTTTAGTCTTTATTACTTGTTTTTCTTTTTTCTTTGTTTTGACATAGAGACCCAATATTTAGTCTTTTCTGGCTTGGAACTGCCCATAAAGGCTCGTCTTGGTCTTGCAATCCTCCTGCCTCATACTGCCAAGTTCTGGTTATGTGTTCTCACCTCCATCCACCTAGTTATTTATTTAGTATTGTCTTGACAGAACAAGTTTCTAGAGATTCTTAGTTCTTTTTGTTGCTAAATTCAATCTACTGTTGGTTTTCAAATTTCAGAGATATTACATTAGACCAGATAAGGTTGGTGCAATGAACAGCTATGGTATTTTTATAAAAAAAAATAAACAAACTATAGTTTGCTTCAACAGAGTTATGTGCAAAGATAATTTATGGTAAAAGCACAAGTCCAGCCCTCCAAAAGCAGTAGTTTAATAGCAACAATTAATCTTCTATTTCTGTCTTGAGTTCTGATCTGAACTCAAGATCAGTTCAGATGATGATACTAGTCATCTGATACTAACTCATCTGTCATCTGATACTAACTCATCTGATACATGAGTTACTAGTCGTTATATAAAATTACCTCATTTCAGTTATAAAAATGTATGGAAAACTTAGTATTAACATTTGACAAGTATATTTTCTGAAATTAGTAATGATGTTTATGGTGATATCTTGTTTGTACAAATAAAGATGACCTGAAGATCAGAGGGCAGAATAGTTCACCATAGAGGTCTGGAGTTCTATAGAGACAGACAGAAAGTGATATGGCTGGGCAGAGAAAGGAAGTGATGTTGCAAGGGGACAAACAAGCAGGCCCTCCTTGCAATAAAGTGATAAGGTGGAAAGAGACAGGAACTCAGTCTCTTTTTGACTTGGAAGCTGATTAGGTGAGGTGGCTGTGGTTTGTTCCTTCATCTCTCTGATCTCTCAGCATTTTCCCCAATATCTAACTCCAGGCTTTTATTATGAAGACCTATTAGAACTCATGCTACATATTGGTACCATTTGTAGCTGGAGGTTTCTCTCCAGCCTTCCAGTTCCTGAATATTCGCTCTGAGGCTTAATATTTCCAAACTGTTTGGCCAATGGCTTCAGTTTATTACTAACTAGCCTTTACATCTTAAATTAACCCATTTCTATTAATCTATGTATAGCCATGTGGTCATGGTGTTACCTCACATCTTATTTCTCCAGCGATGGCATCTTCCTGACTCTGCTTTCTTTCTCCCTGTCTTTCTTCTTGGATTTCCCACCTGGCTCTATTCTACCTGGTTATTGGCCAAATCAACTTCATTGGTAACCAATGGTAATAAAACATATTCACAGCATACAGAAGACCATCCCACATCAAATGTTTATATTTTTCTCAAATGTTATTTTATGTGAACAAATTTAGATAATACATTCAAGTATTTTGGAGGTCTTAATTTCAAATTTATTATTGTATACCACCTAGTGCCTTTGAATCAGAAAATGATATTTCCAGATACAAATTTATATCATTTTATTTATAAATTTGCAGTATTTCGCAGCCAGTATCTTAAGAATTGCAAATAAAATTAGTTTTTATGCAATATCTGAAGACCTTTTCTAATTTAATTTACATATCTTACAATTCTAATTTTCTTGTTCTTCATTTTTATGACTTATAAAATTTAATTACTAAAATTATATAGAAATAATTAACTTACCTGTCAGTTGCAAGTATTTTGGTGGGTTCATAAACATTTATAAATACCATTTTTCTGTCACTCAATGAAAAAAAATGATATGCCCAAAATGTGTTAGTTGCTTGTCCAAAAATGCTATTACCAAAAAGTGACTTGTCAGGCTAATCTACTTCTCAGAGCCTTGACAGAGACTTTATATGGAGAAGAGTGAAAAAATTTTATGTGTGCATTAATACATGTTTTTTTTTCTTACTTCCAGTCAACCCAAGCTCAAAAAGACAAATACTTTGTACTTTTTCTGATGTGTGATCCCTAGCTTCTAGCTGTTAAATATGTGTAAGCAGGATTGCATAATTGTTAGTTAAATTTAGGAAGTTAGAAAGGACCCCATGAGACTGGGGAAAAGTAGGGCTTTAAGGAAGGGGGTGAGGAAGATAATTAAAATAAAATGGAAGAGGAAATACTGGGAATGAGAGTATACAAGAGAAATGGGAGGGTAGGAAGAAAAGGAGTAGGTAGGAGAACAATCAACAAAAATTAAATATGTATAAAATGTCATATGGAAACCTGTTTTCTAGTTAATTTAAAATATATATAAAAATAAATGTTCTTTTTAACCAGAAGCAAGTTCCTCTTCTATTTCAATGTTCTCATTCTGTAAAAGAGTCCTTTGCATATTATCATGTTTGTCT